AAACAAAATATTTTTTTCTCATGCTAATGGCATTTAGCAGAAAAAGCAAGTTACATGATAGGGTTGTCATATGACTCATAATGTCTGTAAAACATTTGCAAACATATGTAGATTCTGCTGGAATATAATGAATGAAATTGAAACAACTTAGGAAAACAAATAAAAGCAATGTTCCAAATTATGCAATGGGATTTGAAAAATCAGTGACGTATATTTCGTTTGTTTGTTTAATTGTTGATGGGGCAATGTGTCACTGATGTCACAGATAATGGTACCATAATCCGAGAATTTGTAAACAAGAGCGTTATATCACGTCATGATAAAACAATGCTGAGGGGCTCATAGTTGCTATGAGTTACTATGTCGTAAAACGTCATTGACATTTAATATAGAACACTCGTAAAATGTGAAGTTAACAAACAAGCTTTTCCTAGAGATGTTTATTCTCAGTATTTCTTCACTTGGCAAATATATCACCATTGTCGTAAGGATTAGAGATGAGTCCCCTCAATACATAGTATGGACATTAATGCAATCATGGGCTTCCAATTCCCATGATTCAATCCACCTATCAAAATTCAGATTAAGAATTAAGCCTTATTGAACCAGTCTTGAAGTTTCAAAAAGTCAATGAACACAGGGGTTTGTGTAAAATCCGGGTTACTGGGTAACTGGGTACCCAGTCGACCGGGTACCTAACGTTCCTAGCAGGGTTACCAACTTTCAAAGTTCCACATTTCCCCCGATATATAGTAGCGAATTGACTTGACAGACTTAGCCTACCGAGTGTACTGCTGTTCGATATTTTTACCATATACGAGACAGAGCACTTTTTAAAATAATCGATCCATCAAACAATGACGTCCATGTCACGTTGCTCATAAGTAGCATATAAGTTCCTAGAAGACGTTGCACATTTTCGTTCTTTACACACAAGGCAACGTAAACATGAGACATCTATTGATGGTATAAAAAGAACGTTGTTGTAACGTGTCCGTAAAGTTCGTTAGTGTGGAAAACATAACAAACAGGAACGTTTGATTTTTTACTATATTGGTCCATATGTGACGTAACTCAAACGTTAAAACATGACAAAAACTTTGTGTTCTCACTAAGTCGGTTCATTTCCAACGTGTTGTTAACGTTAAAATTTAACGTTTCGATTTGAAATAAACTAAAAATGTGACGTCAATAATGACGTTCATGGACCGTATTGATCTGACGTTATTTAAATATTCAGTTAAACGTCGATGGATGGTTGAATTTCAACATTGTGGAAATGGCTTCAAATTATTTGTGAGTAAAGGAAACGTTACAAAGATGTCAATATGTTCTCACTAAACAGGTTCATTACCGACGTTATTTTAACGTTAAAAGTTAACGTTGTCAAAACGTTCTTACGATGTGAAATAACCTCAAAACGTGACGTCGAAAATAACGTACATGTATCGTCCAGATCCAAAGTTATAAATAAAAAAAATCCTAACCCTGCTAGGAATGTTAAGTACCCGGTTACCCAGTTATCCGTTTTTTTACACAAACCCATGAACACAGTCCTGAAATTCCACTTTGATTTGAGCCCAAGACCAAATCAGTTTTACTATTCCAAGTCCTTGGCTATTCTAATCTTCCTCATCTTTAGTTAGAATAAATTGAAAGCCCAAATCAAACTGGGGTCTAGGCCTATAGGCCTAGTCTATTGAGTCGACGCCACAGGCCGAAAAGTGATTGACGGGGAATAAGACTCTAGACTAATTATTTTACAATACAGAGGTTACAAAACCAGCATTTACATACAATTAATTTATTACAATAATATCTTATAAGGTAGAGCACAACGACTGCATTTATAATATCACAACATCTCCAAAATGATTCAACTTGAATTTGAATTGAACTTACCAGATTTCTCAACTTTAACTCCTGGCTCGATTACGCGATCCCTCTGAACGAAACAAATAAAGAATTCCCGGGATGTAGTTCCTCAAGTGTAGCTTAAATGCGTAACGCTTCCTTGTTTGTAGGAAACATGGTGATAATGGTGCCAACGTACTATGCTCTAAAATGTACCTTTTCTTGACATTTAATGACATGATATAGTGATATGCTAATATCTGCATTAATGTAATATATCTAATATGTTTTCAGCTAACAGTTTCAAGACCAGTAGCCTAATGGGTGGCCTTCAGACTGTTAGCTGAAAACATATTATATCTTTTGTAATGTTTTGAGTTTTGTCCACCGTTGTTGAGACACTATATATTCTATCATTTACTGAAACAAATTTGTTTAGAAATTAGAGATAGTGGATCTCAAAGTTCACCAAACCATTCAAGCAGGGATTTTTGTGTGGATGATAACTCCAATACCTGTTATCAGATTTATTTGAAATTTCAAGCGTTATCTGGATAACAAGACCATGTATTTGTGTGCCAATTATACAACCAATTAATAATTAGAGAGATTAAGTTCAGGTTTACATAGATAACGTAGCTTTTATTAATAGGTAGATTAAATGTGACATTTGATTTCTTTAAAAAATAGGTTGTTTTGCTGTGCCAAATTATATACAATGTAAGGAAACAGTAGGTTTTTGGATACGTATTTACAACCGATATGTTTTAAACTCTTCAATAATCGTGAAACCAAAGTACAATTATGAATAATTTACTTCTAATAGATAAAATTAAATAATACAGATATGTGTTCAAAATCAACGGACGGGCACCATTCGTAATCTTAAAATAGGCCTAGCGCTTTCATCAATTGAGCATCTTATGTATAATTTTTCTTAAATGCGTGTCTTTATTGTATAAACATATTTACAAATGTATATTGGGGCTATTTTTCGATAATATGATTATACAACAAAAAAATCAAAAAATAAATAAACGATGAAAAACGCTCGTAACTTGGGGTAAAGTACGCGTAGACGGGCAAGCATTTCTTAATCTAGCGTATTCATTAACGTACTGTGTTCTGGCAAAGTACATCAGAAGTTTGTATTTTATTAGCCATGATTTATTTAATGTATTTATACAGGTATAATATAATGTTTTGAGACTTTAATCTAAACAATTATCGTTTTACGAAAAACGCTCGTAACATGGGGTAAAAGGAGCGTAAATATCAATCTCGATTACATCAATTTTCTCAAAATATATTTTAATGTGGATAAATTCCTGTCAAGGAGATGTTCCTTAGACTATATTCTCAAATCTGACGAAGTTTTAGCGGAAGAATCGAGCGAGAAAGATATTAAAAATAATTTCCATCAATTTTCTGATCTCATGAAAGATAGGTCAGAATGTTACAACAAGATAGGTTGCATTTTTTCGGTGGACGGAGGAAACCGTATTCTATACGTCATTGTTTTTATGTGTGATCAGAACCATAAAATAGGGATTCAAAAACGCTTTCCATTGGTGTATACGGCTATTTCCAGCGATGTTAGGAACAATGTTTTTGAGCCACGCGCCTGATACCCCAGTCAAAAAATTTTGAAAGGTAATAACTTGCGCTTAAATCATTGTTGCTGCTCAAATTGCCGTTTATAGGTGCGTGGGGATATATTCTATTGTATCTGATTGTTAAAACTACATTTTAAAACAAAATAATTGAAATATTGCAAAAAAAGTTTTTTCCGAAAAGTGGACGGAGAAAACATGGGGTATTGTATTGAGGGACGGACGGACCAACGGACGGACGGACGCCTGGTCAATCCCATAGGCTCACTGTGTGAGCCAAAAAGTATTTACACACATTTAAATCAAGTACTGTGCTTATGCTTCATTATGAACAAAACAAAGCTGACATGATGTCATTAAAATGCGTGTTCTAACCTCTAGAATCGTTTGAAGTGATCTCACCGTAGCATCATTTGAAGCAATAGTTAAAGAGGAGCATATGTCTTGATTAGTTTAAAATACCATTGCTGAAAAAACTCCCGGCTTTCGGATCGAAGAATGTATTTCATCACCAGGGGTCAAAAAGTAAATATTTTGATTCGAACATTTATACATTTTATAAGACACAGACCATCATTCTGAACATACGAGCAAAAATGGATGATCATAATGTAAAAATATACTATACTTTTACTGTAGATGTCGGTGTTTAATTAGTGTAATTATGCAAGTGTGTTTTTCAGATTTTGTTTGATTTTTCAAATATGAGCCAAGTCTATTCAACCAAATTGTGTGAAATATTTAGGTAATTTATGATTGGGAATATATTAGCTTTCTTACTATTTAAAACATTTTATGACAAATATAATATACAAATTGTGGCTCACTCATGGCGGAATTCCAAAATTCCAATTCCAATTTGTGAAAAAATAGCTGACCAGTTCATTAGTTTTACCGCTGATTTTCGAAAAGCTGATGCAATTCCATGTAGTTTTTGAAGAAAACTTATTGTTTAAACTGCACAGAGTAAAATATATTAATTCAGATACAAGCTTTATATACAAATTATTACATACGTTAAAAAGGCATTGTCAACTATATAAGAAAACTGTGTGTAAAATTGACTGGCAAAATTAGATATTTTTTACTGTAGCGCCTTTAGCGAGAGAAGGACGAGTTAACGGGAGATCGCTTGTGATGTGTTTGACCCGAGTATGTTCTAAACAACTTTAATCGAAAGCTCTGTATTATTCGTTTGATTTGTATTTCGTATTTGAATCTGCTGCCCCACGCTAGACAAAATATTAAACATTATTCATGAAAAAATTAAACCGACCCTATAATCTAGCTTGGTAATACCTTCAGATTTATGACGAGAACATATGTGAATACAATGTCACAAAAATCTAAAAAGAAATGCTACATGATACTTTAGCGCCGTTTTCAAAAGCGTTGCTCCTAAAGTTATCGCACTACAAACAGATTATATCCAAATGATTAAAATTTCAGTAACATTACTTAAAATTTTGAAATATTGTTGGTAGACCTAGTGATTCCTGATCAATAACGCGATAAGAAATGCTAATAACTTACAAATCTCGAACTCGGCAACCAGCGCAGCTGTGAATGCTTTAACCGTTTGTAGTTCTTCTATAGGGGTACGTTTGCGCTCTTCAAACGATATAGATGAAAACGATCTCATTACAGCCAGTTTACTTAGGCTCTGTGTAGTGTCGAAGACAAGAACCAGATTAACTTTACGTTCACAAGGTGGTACGGTTACAGTGGTTGGTACTTCAGTAGTCGTAGATTGTGCTACAATCAAATATCATTTAAAATATGTGCAATGCCTGGAACTATAAGATGATCTAGATATCGATGTTGTTAACTGCACTTGAGCGTTTTGAGATAGTTGCATTTTTAGATTGCCCTTTTTTATTGCCAAGTACCATTGCCATTGCCATTGCCAAATATAAATAGCTGGCAAGAAAATGAACGAAAGATCTAGAAGGGATAGACGGACGGACGTGTGGTTTCTCTATACCCCCTCGAATTTCGTTCGATTGGAACATTTTAAAGATGTGCTGGTCCCTATCCCTTTAGGCACGGCAGTCACATGGTAAACTAATGACGTAGTCATGGTGTCTTTTCAGGTCGTAGTTTTGGTTTTACTGCAACAATTACTTTTTCTTAAAACTTAAATGAATAAACACAATACAAGCAGCCCACGCGTCTCAAACTCACAAGGTACACAGTATACAAATAAAATGTCTGGTACTTACTAATCATTGAAACGTATATGAACCGTTCTTACCATCTGTAATAGGAGTAGCACCAGTGACGGTTTCGGTAAGTGGTTCAGTGGTAGTTGTAGGTTTAGATGTGGTTGTGGTACTATCCACACACGGCTTAAAATGGTTTATCACAAGGGTGAGAAAATGATCGACTGATTCTACGCTAGCGTCGAGCCTACGTCCGAATCTGTTTCCTAAATAGCCCTGAATCTCGGTCTCTCCCTCCTTTCCCCATCTATGGACAAAATATCAAAATGTATATATTTCACTTGCTTTCCCAATTCAAATCGAGGTATAGTACTACTTTTTAATTAATTGGCCAACACCTACTTGTTATCTAATTTTATCACATATAGATCCGTTGTTTTTTGTATTGCCTGAGCCTCAAGGATCGTACCTAAAAGAAAATAATTTAAAAAATAAGTCCTCTTTCGAAGGATTGAAAAAATATTGAAACACTTTTATTTGAAAAGAGAAAACAATCGCTGGATACCATGGTCCTTTTTTCTTACATCATAGATTGCTATGGCATTTGGCTAATAAAGGCACTTTTGATTTAGAATTGGTGAAATCGACGGACGAATCAATTTTTTTTAACAAACATGTGATTTAAACGTCACATCTCAAAAGGAAATCTCTTAGCAACGGTATAATAAACACTATCCAATTGACAAGGTCAATTCATGGCAACGTTCTATAAGTATTCACTTATTTCTAACAGTTCCTATGAACTATTATATATTTTTCATACGAATGAATTCTTATACCATTAGAAATAAACATTTAATAAATTGTGAATTTAAACGGAAGGAAATACGAAGATTCTTTAAAAAAGTACGTCAACTTTTTACAAGAGTAAACCCCCCGGGAATTTTAAGATTCTATGGAAAGCCCCGACTACTCTATCAGTGGGATTGGCACGGAAAATCAGAGATACTGAACACAGACAGGTTTTTAGGAACGATGTGTATCGGAATCGTGGAAAACATGTATTTTGTTATTAAAATTCATTTTTTCAATGTGTTTTTTATAAAAATAACCTTGCCATTGCCGAAAAATCATTTACATTCGTATTTCTGTGTGAGTGACTGAGTATTTCTGTGAATGAGTGTTCAAAATCTGAATAAATAGGCAGACGAGTCGTTTTTTGAATATGTTTGAAACTATTTTTCGCCGTGTCACTTTTTTCCCCTGGTTACGTCACTAAAAGATTCTTTTGTCAATAGACGTATTTTAAAATACTCACGCCTTCTGCCACCATATGGGAAAGTCCTGCCGTCTGTGAAAATAATCACTACATCTGTTGACTCTGGTAGTTTTCGTATACCATACTCAAGACGCGAAAGGCGACTTTCGAAAAATCTGAAATAATAATTATTTCTAAAAAGCATGCATATTATATGGAACGGGTGGAGCTTTTGTTTTCGTAATGTCAGAGTTGTCTTCCATGGATGACTAATTGACAATAGATTTCGATTTCCGAAAGTCATCGTGACGTTAGATTTAAGCGGACGGTTTCCGAACATTTTCTTGGTGTGAGAGTTGACGTTAGAGGTTTATTGAATCCTTCTTACTATGTCATCGCCTTCTAGAATCCAAGACCCATTCAAACGCGAGTATGGTATCATATGACGATGGCGATTGCACTGAGGAAATACGAGATTTTCTACACCCCCACATTTCCCGCGCCCCTGCACCTCCTATAGGATATCACCTATCAATGATTCTCGAACGTTCTACATCCCCTCAGCTCCAACGTCCCCACACAAGTATTATTATAAGGTGCCCTGATTGGTCGAATGATTTCCAGAGTGACATAAGTGTGAATTACCTGTGATAGGACGCTCTGATTGGTCAAATACAAATGACGCAGTTTAATAAAAGTAAATCGATTCTCCTACGTTCAGATGATTTCCGAATGTTTTTGTGACATCAATTGTCCGTGGATGACTGATACTCCGATCGGCCAATTCATTTTCAGAGACGATTGATAAAATTACTAGATTGGTGAAAGTTCAATTTAAGACTCCAGATTTCAGATTTTCTATTAAAAATATGATTTTGACGTCTGATATTGATGAATAAATGAGAAACAAAATGTATATGTTCTATCCTACCCAAATTGAAACCAGAATATTAGACTTTTATAATCGTCGAAAAATAATAAACCATACCAAGGATAATTGACGGAATGTAATTTTGTCATAGATTTGGACCTTTGAACTAGATAAAAATTTGAAGTAATTTCCGAGAGACTTGGTCATATACCATTCTAGTTACTCAGAAAACGTACAAAGAAAAATAACTAGTTTGGTAAAATTGAACAAAGTTCAAATGAAGACTCCAGAATCAATTTTTTCTTTGTGTAAAAACAATTTTGAGATCTGATATTAATGAGAAAAAGAAAATGTTTATTACATTTTCCTCGCACAAAAATATTTTTCTCACAAAGTTAAAAGCAAAAGAAGGACGGAAAGTATGGCATTATATTTCAGAGAGTTGTATGTTGGATTTTGGCTATTTTCTGAGGATTTTAAGGTGCATATGTAAGGCTAATACATTTCATCCAGGAAAATCACTCATAGAGATGATTAAAATGTTTCGAGTTTGAGACTGGGTAGATGGAAACAACCTTTCATCCCTCCTTTTTCAATTTTTATTGAATCGATATGTTGAGTTTAGAGACAAAGTTAAACCCCGACAAGACTCGGCCTTACTACTTATACGTAGAACTGGACAAACAAATAACAATATAATGCTGTTGTTTTTTATATACAGTACTATGTTCCCTAAAACATACTTACCACTTCGAAAAAACTGTTTTTTCTGTACATTGAACCTAAACTTGATAAGGTTACAATATCAACCCCAGTGCATATTAAAAAAATAATAATAACGAAAATGTCCGGAAATCGTCGGAGGACGCAACGTCCACGCCAGGGTCATGCTAGCGTTAGGGAGCATGTCATACTCAAACTATACATACATTTAGTGACCCATTCTTTTAACATTAACCTAAATCCACTGTAACTAAGGCGATTTCGTGAACTGGTAATATAATGATCTGGGAAACACCCAATTAACTGCGTTAATTTTCATAAAATCTTTTTTTTATAAAATACCATTCAAGGATCAAGATAAATGAATTCCAAATCAAATGCATTAAATGTCCGGAAAATCTTTATCTAAAAATCTAAAATCTTTTTTTTTATAAAATACCATTTACCGGATTTTCTCGCATATAAGCCCTGGGCGTATAACTGAAAGAAGGGGTAATTTCGTCTGTTATTTTACCTCTTATTTTTCGCCCATGGGCGTATAAGTGTACTACTTTCGATTTTTGGCCCAGTGGGCGTTAAGGTGAGAAGAGCAGATGAATACCGTACCTACTGTTGTAGTCCTACCGCATGTTTTGTAAGAATTATAAAGGAAATGTCACCTACAACCTTGGACTTAACGTTGAAACAAAGTAACAACAGAACGATCCACCGCTGCTACTTACATGACTTACGGCACAGCGTTGAACTTAATGTTAAAACAAAGTAACGACAGAACGATCTACCAGTGACAAAATACTCTTGAATTTATTGAAAAAAACATTAAATAGTCATTTTTTATACGCCCATGGGCGTATAAGCGTACTACATTCGATTTTTGGCCCGTGGGCCTAAAGGATCTTGTACACCTGCCATTATGATCTCCCCATGAACAAAATGAATCATTTTAGGTGTGATATAAAGAATACAATGTTACATAATACTTTGGAAAACATTTAAGCGTTTGGCCCCACATGGGCTGAGGTTGGGGTCATTAAGTTCAGCAAGGGTGTATTGACTTGACATTGGATGTGTTCTATTGACTTAACATGTGGATACCATCAGATTCCAATGGAGGCCATTGGTTTTTATTGATTTTCACAAAAATACCTAAAATACACTATGACCTGAATCGATTGCAAATTAAATAATTTCACAGTATGACACAAATGGTATTTCAGATCAGATGTGCAAATATAAAGTTTGCAATCGATTCAGGTCATACTTCAAATTAAAAGATTATTCATTTTTTTCATCATTTTTTTCCTACAAAATGGCTATAGAAAAATGCTTCAAAAGCAACTTTTACACTTATGAAATCCCATACAACTTTGTAAATCCAAAGATTATACTGTTATGATTCATTAATTAATAACATATTTTGATAAGATGTAGGGATGTGTAGGATGCAAATGGATTTTGACAGACACAAAAAGACTTCCTGGTTTGGCATCTCTACCCCTGTACACTTTATGATTGAATATTGCCCTAAAAAGTGGCCCATTCATCAATACAGTGCTGAATATTATAGGTCAACAAGATACTAGTGTACATATAAATGTAATAATAAAAGCAGTATATTTATTTTGAAAAATCAGATGAATTTATTTTTGTTCATGGGGAGATCATAATGGCAGGTGTACAAGATCCTTTAGGGGGGCGTATATGCGAGAAAATCCGGAATTCCAAATCAAATGCATTTTCTAGAATAAGACTTCAAATCCCTTGACTTTAATCCCTTCCAGTAAACAACCTTAATATCTTACCGTTTTCTCACATCAAAGAGGGCTCTGCCTGTCCTAGTTTCGCAAGTTTCATTTTGACCAATCTGTGTATTACTTATTAGTTTTTTCGTCACTTCATTATTTGTTGTGTCTCTTGCATAAAATTCGAAATATGGGTTTCTATCATATCTAAATAAATATAACAAAGATTTGTAATCGTATAAAATATTCAAGCCCAAATAAATATAACCAAATCAATTTAATTTTGGATTGTACTGTTTTCATGTTTGCATGACATGGGTTAATCATAAATTTCCGGGCACTAAGTAATTTGATTGGCTTTTTCGGTTTACAGTTCTTTCAATATGTTACATATAATATGAGATGTTCTGATTATTATCAGGTACTCAACGCAGTGGATTAAAATTGATCAATTTGCATTCATAAAACAAATTGAGTGGATCATCACATTGCAGGCATGTCAAGTAAATCAATCAATCAAAATGCCCATATTCACTTTAACATTGTCTTCACTACCAATTTACGGCTAATTATAACATACTCACTTTACCAGCGTCATTAGAACGGAGTCACGACCAATTATAACTTTTTCTGTGACGTTGAGAAGTAATTGTTTTACTCTATCCATTTGATCATAAACTGAACAACTTTGATCTATTACCCAAAAGACATTCGTGCAAGCTGAAATAAAATGTTTTAAAATCAAGTACTAAAGCTTTGATTTTTAAGAAATTCAACTCTAAGGGTTTTCTTTAAAAAAAGATGACAAGTTCAGAATCAAATAATTTGTCCAAATCCTTTAAAGATCCCGTTTCTCTATTATACTCATAGCACTTGCTAATGTTACCTTAACTTTCCTCAATAATAATTTTCAAATAATTCGATCTTTTTTTGAGAATATGCTCGTTAAAACAGCTATTTTTGGGACAGTCAATATAATTTATTTCTAAAATGTGTTAATATCAAAGTTTCTTACATTTCTTCAGTGGGTCATGTAGATCATCAAAACGGGGATACCATTGTAACTCAAAATTCCGTGTTACCTCGCGTTCATTCAGGCTCTGTACGGGCCTACTGAGACCATCAAGAGTTGGACTTCCATCGGATCCTTTAAGCCTTCGGAAAGCCTCAAACTAAAACTCCAAACATTTTAATTATGATATGAAGGACGATTATAGATTCAAATTGTCATTTAAAATTAACATAAAAAAGCCACATGGTGTACAGAATCGCACCCTTGAACAGAATACACTTTTCGGGATGAAAAATCCAAAAGTGCCACCTTAACATTTACCCAGAATGCCGAAAAACTAATCAGTTATAAACTTTCACACTAGGTAGAAACATCCCTGAGAATTTCAAATTAATCCCTCAAACGGTTTGGCTGGAAACCTGTAGACAAGCCTTGACAGACACGATTTTAGGATGAAAAATCCAAAATGGCCACCTTAACATTTACCAAGAATACCGAAAAACTAATCAATTCTAAACTTTTATAGGTAGAAACATCCCTGAGAATTTCAAAAGAATCCCTCAAACGGTCTGGCTGGAAACCTGTAGACAAGCCTTGACAGACAAGATTTTAGGACGGAAAATCCAAAATGGCCGTCTTAACATTTACCCAGAATGCCGAAAAACGAATCAGTTCTAAACTTTCAAAGGTAGAAACATCCCTGAGAATTTCAAATGAATCCCTCAAACGGTTTGGCTGGAAACCTGTAGACAAGCCTTGACAGACAAGAATTTAGGACGGAAAATCCAAAATGGCCGCCTTAACATTTACCCAGAATGCCGAAAAACTAATCAATTCTTAACTTTCATGGGTAGAAACATCCCTGAGAATTTCAAATGAATCCCTGAAACGGTTTGGCTGGAAACCTGTAGACAAGCCTTCAAAAACAAGATTTTAGGATGGAAAATCCAAAATGACCGCCTTAACGTTTACCCAGAATGCCGAAAAACTAATCAGTTCTAAACTATCACAGTCTGAAACATCCCTAAGAATTTAAATTGAATCCCTCAAACGGTTTGGCTGGAAACCCGTAGACAAGATTACTCGGGACGCCGGCCTGCCGGGCAAACTGATTACAATATAGCACCTAAGGGTGCGATAAATATGAAGCAAGTCTCTATCATTAAATTTGAAGAAATAAAATCTGAAAGAACCATTCACCTGAATATCGGCTATAAATCTATTTTCCTTAAATACGATTCGAAGAATACCTTCATCACAGGATGGTGAAGAGAGACTTCCGTTGTATCGATAATATCTGTAATAATATAGTTATTAACGGATACTTCGGAAAGTTGTGAACCCCTCAAATCCACTGTACTATTGCAATGAATATACATGTATCATGATTTAGAAATAAGATTTAGGAACACAAGGGTTCTCGGATGATCTTGATTTGACTTTGCGGTACAGAAATGTTAATTTAACTGTGGCTCCAAAAATAATTAAAAGGATTATAGGCCATCTTAAAAAGATTTAAAGAAATGGCCTCCGTTATTCGCACTAAATATATCCTTTGAATCATACTTATCTCATTTTCCCCGCCGATTCAAATTTACCTAGCCTATTAACTTTTTTATCATCGAATTTGCCACTGACATTGATCGTATTCCTTTTATATTTGACTCTATGTATAGACCAATCAAACTAATGAAACAATAAACAAATTGCAATAGCTTTCAAATTAGGTTAGTTGATTACATGAATTAACCTTGAGATGCACACTAAAAATCTACCAAAATTAAAAATGATGGAACAATTTAAAAAAAATAATCAAATACACCCCCTACCCCACCCCCTTCAATTTATGAGTGTATTACTAAAAATACATATTTCTTAAAGTCGAGGTCTTATTTCTACATACTTTAGCTTGACCACGACTGGATATTGTTTTTCCGAGATAATAAAATTGTTTTAAGAAAAATATCATTTGTCTTCTTTTTAACCCTTACAAACCCAGAAAAAAACAGAAAAAACTTAAATTACACATATACTAATTGAAAGGTGTGTTTTTTATTACTTGAACCTTCTAGAAAATGTTCTATGATTTATAAAGATGGACCAGCATTATAAACTTATTATTCCCATGTAATATTGAAATGATAAGTTTATTGAGTCTTGAGAAATATATTTCTTGATACCGTGTGGTTAGGCTACTAGAATGAAGGACAGAAAATGCGATTTATACAAACGAGAAGAAAGGGAAGAATAAGGTAATGTTGGCGTTTCATATTTCTTGTCACCACGATTCAAGGAAAACCACTTTATGGATTTAGTTCAAATTTTAACACTTATTACATAAAAGAGGGTTCTAGAGTTGATTAACTTTCGGTGGCCATCTTGAATTATGGTGGCCATCTTGTAAGTTTTGAAGATAAATATTATCATCACGATTTGAGGAAAGCCGATCAATGGATTTATTTAAAATTTCTTCATATGTTACATTGTAGGAAGTACAAGAGATGATAATATTTTCAGCAGCCATCTTGTTTTCTGGCGGCAATTTTGGAAGTTTTTTTAATCTTGCCGTCACTATTCCAGGAAAACCACTGGCCGGAATTACATCAAATTTAACATATGTAATTACATGATGAGATGTTCTACAGCTGGTTAAACATTATGGTTGCCATCTAGCTTTCTGGGTAAACAAGCCCTTACTGTTATTTTTTGGGTACTATATTGTTTATCCTGTGCCTTGTTCTACATAGTACTCATATATTTAGACACATTGTTGATTGGTATGGTAAAAGTTACTATAAGACTATGACTGCAATATGTAAGCACGAGTGCTGAAGGGTACGGACCGAAAAATGATCAGGACACAATAAGAAAAATAAAACATTTAAGTATACATCAATCAGATGACACCCCAACTTTCTCAAACCATAAAAATGTACATTTGAGGTTCCGACATTTTGTTAACAAACAAACCATTTCGGTAATCAGCTTAATCGAGTGGATCACCAGTGAGATACACTGAATACAATATTAATTAAATTTACTGAAAGCACATTAATCGATGAAAACATGCCATATTATATACCGGTGGAAAGGGGGTTTACTCATCTTTAATTTGGTAATTCATAAGTTCAAATCAATTATAACGTCTATCAACTAGCGCCAATAATATAAATGGCGCCATTTTCGTTCCAAAACGGGTTTTGCAAAACTTGCAAAAACACGTTTTTTGTCAACTTTATTTACATAAACAGAGCATTATTTTGTCCACCATCTTGATCAATTGTAGAGCTAAATTTTTGCCTTAGCTGGTCAATACCACCATTGATATGCTGTTGAGACAATGAATTTCACTTCAGAACAATTCTGTCCTCGCATATTTATGGTACACCAATTTTGTTAGTTCTCCCCATACGTGGTAGTAACAGACGTTGGGCGATCAGGTAATCTAGGGATTTGACACTCTTGTGGGATCTATTGCTTGGAGCCCGATCTTGTTGAAAATGTAATAATTTAAAGAATGATCTCATATTTAAGTGGTCAAAAAACAACATCATTGGATCATCTCATGGTGTACCATGACCTGACATTTATTTAGTCCCTTGAGGATAGGTTGTTGAGAAGTGAAACCCATCGTCTCAACAGCATATTAATAATGCTATTAACCAGTTTTGGCTAACATTGAGGACTATAATTGATCAAAATAGTGGACATATTGAACGTCTGTTTATGTAAATAAAGTTGACAAAAACTTGATTTTTGTAATTTTTGGAAAACCCATTTTGAAACTATGAAGGACCCACGGTCCTGTGCTCACACAGTTTGGAACCTTCAGAGGAATGTATATCCTGACTTTCAAACAAAAAATTGATTTGGATTTGTAGTCTCGAACTTTGAGAAACTTAGATGGCACAGTTGTGTGACCTAGTTTGATGACCTTTGACCTTGAAAAGTTACTTATTCAGAGCTCAGTAAGGTATTTTGTGATTAAGCTGATCAAAATTTACATCCAAAAATCAATTTGAAATCTCAACTTTTTTTACCTTTCCAAGGTCACTGAAGGTCAAGTAAAGGTCAAATCCTAAATCTGATGTCAGATTTGAACTCCTGGCAACTTGTAGATGATTTTCAAAAAAGAATTGGTCAAATTCAAGCAAGTTGAAAAATAACTTATTTTTCTTTTTTTGACGTCAAATATCTCAAAAACGGTAAACATTTGATGCTGGCATATATTGAGCAATATGTAAGGAATGCTTAAAGCTAGTAGTGATGTAATTTATTGCAAGAAATTATCAAGTATAAGGCAAACTTTAAGAAACTTGTCAATCCCAAAACCTGCCATTGACGTTACATGTATACATGACAACGTTTCCTGATAATGAGTCCTACTTTTTGTCAAATTTTATAGAGTAAACACCAAAAACTGTAATTCCAAGAGCTTTGAAATCTTCAGAGGACATAAGTTGCATATACAGCATCTACTAAAAGTTATTTGAAAGATCTGCTTCAACAAAGTGTCTAGTATTTACAGAAAATTTGACTTTTTGACGTCAAAATCCGCAATTTCTCTGAAACCGGGCGAACTTGGGAAATGGCGATGATAGGTCAAATAGGCATTATGGATTTGCATAAAATGAATGTGGATATGACTCAATCCGAATAGCAGTTTGAATTTGTGCGGCCAATGTTGACGGACGGACCAACAGACTGACGGACGCCTGGTCAATCCCATAGGCTCACTGTGTGAGCCAAAAATTACGTCATTTATATTATTGACAGACATTATAATAAATCTCAACTTATGATATACCAAATTGAGGATAAGTAAATTCCCTATCCACAGGTATATATTGACATTTTTCTATCAAGAAAAACAATATCTATTTTTGAAATACGAGTATCCCCATTTTGGACCACCCTGTCCTTTTGAAATATGTGCGGTAAGTAAGCCAAAAACAAAAAATCCAAAATGCAACGTTTGAGGTGTCAAAATAATGGCAAATTTCTGAAGTCAGAATTCAAATCCGACTTCCCGTTGTGATTCTTTGATGTTTTGAAATCTCGAAAAGTGCATATGATGAAATCCTCTTTTTCGAAATTCAATGGTGCGAACTTGGTCAGCAACCAACTAAGCTACTAATTTAGCTTCTTACACAGCTACCTACTAAGCTTGTTACTTAGCTACCTATATCATATGTAAAGTGTACATAATATTTAATCAGATTTCAAGTACACAATGGTGAGTACTGGTCTCGATTTGCAAAGTGATTTGAAAATAAGTGAAGGCCTACCCCTATTTTTCATTTTCATTTTTCATTTTTTAAATGACTTTTTATATATTTATATCATATATTTGATTTTTTCTTCAAGTCCTCAGGGGCTAGTGATCTAAATTCTCCCAAAGATTTAAACATAAGTGAAGCGAATAAAAGTCTATCTCTAATTTTTTTAACATTTTCGAAAGTTATGGTTTTTTCTCAACAACTAATAAATGTACAATTATCTTGCTTTGCAAACATATAGGGTACACAACAAGGTACAAATTGGACTTTTGATACACGGTTTATTACTTTTGAAATATAATTGTGTTCACGTAAATTACTGTGTGCATTTAATGCAAAATTTCAGATGAATAAGGGTTCAAAACATTCACTCTTAATTCCAAAGTTAAAGAGATACACAGATGGGATTTCGTATTATATATATCACGGTGTATAACCCAAACGCTCCTACATGCACGACGGAGCGTTTCATTTACGCGGAAACGCTCCGAAGAGAAATAAAATGGCGGCTAATGAAGATTCCACTATGACCGTAAGTATTGTTTCTCTCGTTTCTCTTACATATCATATGTTATGGTGAAATATTATGTACCATTCGATGAACAATACCGTGAGCAAAGATCTTATTTATTCAACTTCTGGTGGTAAACTGTTATTTGCTTGATCAAAGCTCCGTAGTGTAGATCGAACGAATCTGAAGATGACGATTTGACCACAAATTACGAATTAAACTAGTATTTCTATGAAAACGTTAATATTTCTGTTAAAGTAGTAGATCACAAACCTGTATATTCTCATTTCTTAAAATCCCAGTCCAAATCCATTACTTGTTCTCAAGAAATCGATTGTTTTCCTCGAAACGCTCCGTCGATTTAGAACACAATTTTAGAAACGCTCTTACCATTTTGTTTTGATATCATTTTCAGATTATTAGAGAAGAGTTCCGAATCGAATCTATCCTTCAAAAACGTGTTGTACTTGTTAGGCAAATTGAAACATCTGAACCTGGTGGTGCTAA